TAAGTCTCCAGACTGAACCAGTAAAATGTGGATTCCAACCTAGAGAGGAGTTTGTACAATGGAGACCCAGACCTCCTTCAACTTTCAAAGCTTAGCTCACATTCTCTCTCCTCCAGGGACTTTTTCTGAACTCCTCTGATCCTCATAGCTCTCCCCCTCATCTTGGCATTTAATCAATCACTTACTGTGTAATGCAATTTACTCACCAAATATCCCTTAAGAATATTCTCTGTGACCAGCACTGTGCTAGGCAATGAAGAAACATCAGTGAACGACAAAGCACAGGCCCTACCCTCTGGGAGCTTACAGCACAACAAGAAAGAGGGACATTAAACAATCTCTGTACTTGCAAACATGATGAGTTAGTTATTGCACTTTCTCCCCAGAGCCAGATTTATTTTTAGCCCCTGGAGGGAGCTTGTATTCCTTTTGGACCTTGTTGGACCTGGTATGATCTGTGGTCACAGTGGTTGCTCCATAAATGCCACGTGAACAACTAACAATGGGAAACTAAGAATGAAAATGATTACTTCTTGATCTCCCTCCTTTCCTGTATCTTTAGAAGCACCAGCATGAAAAGAGCATAGATTCTGAGATTTCATGAGTTCTAGGTTCAAGCTTTGATTTTGCCAGCTACTGGCTAGATGATGCCTGTGGATAATTTATTCTCCAAGCCTCAGATACCTCTTCTGTAAAATGGAAACAATAAGGCCTCTTCCAAAGAAATATTGTGAGGATTAAATGAGGCGATTTATGTAAATATGATTATAGGATCTAACACATAGAAAATTCTTACATGTTGATTTCCTTCTCCTGGCTAATTTAACCTTGGATGAGAGACCAAGGAAGCTGCTTTCCAATTATAAGGCTTCCATTCATTTGAGGTGAGGAGCACAGAGGGGACAGTGAAATTATGGGTCTGGATGGGATCTTAGTCCAATCCATTATTTTCTTGGTGAGGAAATTGAGGCTTAAAGAATTCAAGTTACTTTCTTAAGGTCACACAGAGATTTTAGCGGTAGGACTAGAAACAGAATGCAGGCCCTTTGGTTTCACTGAGCAGTGCATTTGGGCAGCCCCTCCAAGAAGCTCACTACCAGCCTCTTACTCTCAGAAAACAGAATATATTCCTCTAACAGTTCATGCGAGGTCACTGACTCAGGAGGATAAGTGGATTCCTGGGAAGTCAGTTGGATTGATTCCTGGGCCCTTTACAGCTTTCTGAAGGCTGGGTGGAGAGGTTATCAGCTTGCCTTGTCTCGTTTGGTTCCAGGCAAGACAAGGAAGGAGTGAGTTCCAGTTGATCTGCGGCTCGATGTTCTCAGGTGGGGAAGGGGTGGGTAGTATAGGCTACCTTCCTTCATGAGGCTAGACTCTGGTGAGACCCAAAAAGAGTGACTAAGGGCTTGGAGACATGAGAAAAGTAGGGTCAGCACAGGGGACAGACCTGGATTAGGAACAAGTTGTTTAACAAGTCACTCAAGTACCACGCAGTAAAAATTCCTCACAAAATGGAGCTCTGCCATCAAGTGTCTCAACTTCTCTTAATAATAACAGCAACATTATTGTTATTATTATTACTAGCCACCAGGCACAGTTAAGGGCTCTCCATATATCATCTTTGACCACTCACAGCCTGCTTTTTTTTTTCTAATTTAAAACATTTATTATGGTAAAATATATATAACAAAAAATTGCCATTTTAAGTGTACAATTCAGTGACATTGGTTATACTTGCTAAGTTGTGCAACCATCATTATCCATTTCCAAATGTTTTTCATCACTCCAAACAAACTCAGTATCCATTAAGCAGTAACTCCCCATTCTTCTTTCACGAGCCCCTAGTAGCCACTAATAAACTTTGGTTTCTATACTTTGCCTACTATAGATAATTCACATAAGTGGGATCATACAATATTTGTCCATTTGTGATATCTAAATGATTTTAATGAAGAAATATTTCAGTTAAATGAATAGCAATATTCTTACAGTAAAGTACATAGATTATGCTAAAAATAACAAAATACATTTATTATCCTCAGGTACTTCACAGTAGGCTGTAAGTTCAAATTATTTTTTGAAATTATGTACCAAATTATTGGTTTGAAAACCAAGAAAGCTACTATCATTGAATTCTGAATTTTATAGAGCATACCCCCCCCCATAAGAAAGAATTAGGTCTTAAAGAAATGGATACACCATTCAAAAATAAAAACTAGAATACTTTTGTTTGGTGACTCCTGCAATTCAAGATGGATACTGAATGTTAGCGAGGGGTCAGCTATCCCACTGACAGTTCTCAATATGTTCCCACTGCAGAGGATGAGAGTGGAGCCTGGACCACTGGCCAGGGTATCAGGAGAGTTACAGCCTGCTTTTGAGAGGCATGATAAAGTGATAACTAAGGGCATGGTCTTTGGCCAAAACGTTCTGTGTTCAAATCTAGTCCTCTCACTTATGTGCTGGCTAACTTTGGACAAGTCATTTAAGCCTTTCTTTTCTTCCATTTCCTTGCCTCTAAAATGAAGGTAACGGTAGTACCTACCTCATAAACAACAATCTAAGGATTGTTGTTAGTTATTGTTGGCTTCCTTCAAGTTATCCCCTAACTCATGGTGACCCTCTGCACAATGGAACACAATGCTACCTTGTCCTGCACCATCCTCATGGTTGGTTGGGGATCTGATCACAGAGTTTTTATTTTCTGATTTTTTTTTTTTTAAAAGAACACCTTAGTCTTGGAAGCTCTGCTGAAATCTGTTCAGCATCATAGCAACCCATAATCCTCTGCTGACAGATGGGTGGTAGCCATGCAGGAGATACATTGGCCAGAATCTGAACCTGAGTCTTCCCCACGGGAGGTGAGAATTTTACCAGTGAACCACCACCACCTCATGTTCTACACATTAAGTGACTTCATATGTCTAATGCACTTACAGTAGTTCTGGGCACAAAGCAACCTATGTGTTCATTAGTTGTTGTAATCTTATTGCCATCTTCTTAGGGGGTCTTCTCTTAATTTTCTTATCTAAAAGATCCCCCTCAGTTACTCACTATCATATTATTCTGTTTTATTTCCTTCAAAGCACTTTATCATGTTCTGGAGTTATCTTCTTTTTGTTTTACTTGCTTGTTCTCTGCTTGCTCCCACTAACAAATAAGCTCCATAGGAGCTAGGACATTATAGATGCCTCCTGGGACATAGTAGGTGCTCAGCACATATTTTTTTGAATTGAATTGAATTTGGTATCATTGGATTGTCCCAAATCCTATGAAGCAGATACTCCTGTTGTCTTCATTTTATGAACTGAGGCACTGTGAGTTTCCTTGGTTTGCTCAAAGTCATACAGCTGGCAAATAACAACCAACTCAACCCAACTTGACTTAAGAGCTCTCATTCTGAATACTAGATTGGCTCCTCCTCAGCAAAAATTCCCTCTGAGTCATTCCCTTTCTCCAGCCCTCTTTCTCTGGGACACTCTTGCAGCTTCCCTTTTTCACAAGTTTTCTAGAATCTAACCTTTCCCTCACATCCACTTGTCCAGCCTGTGACCTTCATTTCTCAATCCAAGGGGCAGCCTACTTCCAAGGAAAAATGAAAACAAAACAAAAAAAAATGTGCTTCCGTGAAGTCGATTCCAACTCATAGTAACCCTATAGGACAGAGTAGAACTGTCCCACAGGGTTTCCAAGCTGTAACATTTACAGCAGCAGATTTCCACTCCCTCTTTGAACCACCAACCTTTTGGGTTTTCCTTGGAAGTGGGCTGTCCCTTGGATTGAGAAATCAAGGTCACTGGCTGGATAAGTGGATGTGAGGGAGAGGTTAGAGTCCAGAAAACTTGTAAACAAGGGCAGCTGCAAAAGTATCCCAGAGAAAGAGGGCTGGAGAAGCAGAATGACTCAGAAGAAATCTTTGCTGAGGGGGAACCAATCTATTATTCAGAAGGAGGGCTCATAAGTCAAATTGGGTTGAGTTGGTTGTAATTCGCCAGCTGTGTGACTTTGAGCAAACCAAGTCCTACTGTCTGGAGAATGCTACAACCCAGCAATTCCACTTCTGGACATATACCCAAGATAAATGAGTACAATAAGTTCACCAAAAGACTGGCACAAGAATGCTTATATCAGCTTTATTTACAATCACCAAAAACAAGAAACAAGTCAAATGCATAAATAAACTGTGGAGTATGTCTATGCAATGGTATATGACTCAGGATGAAAATGAATGAACTACTCATACACACAATTCATGAATGACATTACGTTGGCATTATGTTGAGTGAAAACAGCCAGTCTCAAAAGAGTATATTCAGTATGATCAAACTAGTCTGGAATGATGGAAATCACATCAGTGGTTGCTTCTGGGGAGTAGGGAAGACTGATTGGGAAGTGTCAGGTCTAGAAAGGCATCTTATTCCTTGGTACCCTCCCCAGGGTTGCTGGCCTCCTAAAGAGCAGGGAGGGGTAGGATGGGGGATGCTCTTTTCTGGAGCTGGAAATTGAGTTGAGGCTGTCCAGGTTCTAAGCATCTCAGTTTCTGGGCTAGACTCCAAGGAGATGCTATCTCCCCAAGCCTTCTCTACACATCCAATATCATACCCCATCCTCCCTCAAATGCCTAGCCCAAGAAAACTAGGCCAAAGCAATACAACGGTTTGGTGGAAGTATAACTAAGACGTGGGGCCCTACTGGAGGTGAGGGCTATTATATCTCTTCACCTTCCTCAAAGGATCACCTCCACAGTTGTAACAGGCAGGGATTGTCCTGCCTATCTTTGCCTCATTTTGCTCACCATAACATACCATGGCTTGAGCCAGGGAGTTTTCTCTGCCTTTTCAGAGCATGAGACAGGCAATGAGGGAGGGGCTCTCCCAGTTTTCCAGCTAGAGTTCTAGTGGATTCTGACAGAAAAGTAGCTGGCAGGACTGGGCAACTTTGCTCTACAGAGAGGAGAGCAGGAGTCTGTGGGGACTGGAAGCAGATCAGAGAGTGCAGACTCAGAAGTTCTCATAGTGGTGCATGAAGTGAGCCTGGTCTTGCTGGTTGATGAGCTGACAGGCCTTCTCTACATTCTTGGTCATTCCTGGAGGGCCACAGCTGAACACCCCAATCTTCCTCACCTGTCAGGGAGAGTGGGAGTGATTGGAGAGGGAAGAAGAGACCTACAGGCTTGAGATACTCACTTCCCAGGAGGATGCTGCTTCTCAAGCCTGGTTTGAGTGACCAGCACATCAACCCAGCCCCTGAGGAGGCAGCTTGAGCTGTGATACCTTCACTGAAGGTCTCCTCCAACACAAGGTCTCATTTTGTGTGCTTGAGGACAGAGAAAGGCCAGAGTACCAGGATGGGCAGGGGCAAGGCTGACCTGTGGGTGGACCTCCTGCAGGGAGTTGAAGAAGGGTTCAAAGGGGGGGCGGCCAAAGTGAGTCACAGAGCGCAGACCCGTGAACAGACTCCGGTTCAGCACCTTCTGGAAGTGCCGCTCACAGATGTACTGTGGGGGAAAGAGAGGAGGTCACATTGGGCACAGCCAGTATCAGCATCCAGTACAGACAGTCGCCCACCCACTTGCTTGGTTGGCCCTGACATACCAGCATGGTGGTCCTGAGGTCAAATTTCTCTGCCAGCTGGGTAATATAGATATGCACAGATACTAAGTCCTGGTGGTCATTCTCCTCCACCTCCCGGATGATGTCAGCCAGCCATTCGAACTGCTTCTGTGTCCGTGTCACCCAGATGAAGTAGATCTGCAACACATGGCTCAAGCTTGTGACTCAGCTCAGCTCAAGGTCCTTCCACATCAGGCGCTTTCACCTGAGAGTCTGGGAAACTCTATGCCACCCACAGACACCAAGCTGCTGGCTTGACCCACCTGCCTGATCCAAGGTTTCTAACCAAGATTTCTGCAAGGGCCCTCTGACAACACCCTTCCTGTCCTTCAAACACTGACATCTGGACAACTATGTATGAATGCCCTTCAAGGACCCAGTATGAGGGAGTCAGGGACTTTTTCTCATGCTAGTGTGCTGTGATGCGGGGACACACTCAGGCTACCTGTCCCCATGTCTTTGAAGAATGGGGGAGGGACACTTACCTTTTTGCAGAGCATTTGGCTGCCCAAAGATGATTTGAAGACTAGGTCTTTGAGGATGGAGGCAAAGGGGGTGACCCCAATGCCCCCTCCCACCAGTACTGACACCTCAAACTTATGCCACTCCTGGTGGCCTTCTCCAAATGGTCCATCAAGGTAGAGCTGCCAAGAGAAGGTGGAGATAAGATGGCCGTGGCCTTGGCCCTGCCCCAACCCTGAGGTCAGGACGGAAGGGACATGGAGAGGGAGGACATGGGATCATCCTAGCTTCTTTTCGGGCACCCTTCTCTTTCCCCTCCTGGCCTTGGGGTGGCTGGAGCTTCTAGTCTTAGGATAAGGGAAGGCAGGGACTCTGCCAATGCCAGAGACACAGTAGCCAGATTCCCAGTGATGGGGCACCTTTGGGTATCTGGCACTGCCGTCACCCTTTGAGTGTGAGTAGATCTCCCTGAGGCGAGTGGTCCAGGGCCCCGCGGCTCGGATGTGCAGGCTGAGCGTGTCCTCATGAGGTGCAGAGGTGAGTGTGAAGGGGTGATACTCGGTGGTGCCCAGAGCCAGGCAGGCGATCCGCACCCACTGCCCTGACTTGTACTCAAAGCCTTGGGGTCGCTGGAACTGCAGGTGGGTCACTCCTGGAGGTCATGGGCAGGGAAGGACTTGGATCAGAAGGTCTGCTCCTGGCACCTGAGTATTGGCAGGTACACTTTCCTCTCTACAACCCTGAAGCACAAGGGAGTGGACCTACTATCTGAGTAAGTGGGGTTCCTAGGACTGCAGCACGAGGGCTCTACTTCTCTGTTTCATGGTAACCCAAGAGCTGGTCTCCCTGTCCCCATTCTAGCCCCTCTTTTCTCTGTACCCACTTCCCATAAAGAACCCAGGCCCCACACCCTTGTTCTGGATGCCAACCTGCCAAGTCAAGGGCCCTTAGCCTCCCCTAGGTTCCTCAGGCTCCTGAGGGACCATTCAGTGTTTATCAAACCTTCACTGTCTGAGGGTTATCTTTGTGATTTTGATCATATCTGAACTCCTCCAGTAATGTTATTTATCTAATATGTTTGTTTAAATTGGCTTGCTTTTTCAATACAATTTATTTTGATAGGAAACTGTCTATCACTAAGGTAGGTGGAAAACCAGTAGCATGTGCTTGTTATCAAGTTTTAGCTGGATATTGTTTGTTGCCTAATCACAGCTGAGCCTCAGACCTACTCTCTGTTGATAAAAGAGATTAGCAAGTTCTGGAAAGTACAAAAGACACACTAATACCCCTCTGAGACTTTATCCTTAAGGTAATCTTGACTGAAATAAAATTGAAATGAGGTTGATATTCTTTCTATGGGACTCCTAAAAGTTACAGGTTCCTGTGACACCTAAGGAGTCCCTGGGTTCATGTGCCCGGCTGCTAACTAAAAGACTGGAGATTCGAGTCCACCCAAAGACACCTGGGAAGACAAGCAGGTACTCAAAGGCTTGGGACTTCTACTTCGAACATTAGCCACTGGAAATTCTATGGAACACCCAAGGTCAGGCTGGACCTGGTACCTGAGGGCAGCAGCTCTGCCTTCATTACATTAATCTCCACCTTCTTCCGGCTCAGGCTCACCAGCTTGTCGCCCCCATAGATGAGTGCTGGGACCAGGAAGTAGATGTGGAAGCGGGGCATCTGAATCAGGCCAAAGCTGCCATGGATGATGAGCTGGAGACATGGCCAGTTAGTACAGCTCAGACTGTGCCTGGGCACTAGACTTCAGCTGGGTAGAGGGGACTGGCATAAGCTCCAGAGTCTGGGGTCTGGCTGAAATCATAGGGCTTGGTCCAATTATCTTCTCCTTCCACCGTAAGTGCTCATCCCTGTCCCATGGCCTGGCCTTACCCAGAGAAGTCCCTTACCAGGATGTAGAGCATGATGTAGAGGTGGTGGGTCAGCCAGAAGCCTCGGAAGCTGCGGCGGCGAAAGTTGTGGGAGGCAAAGACATACATGATGGCCAATACCAGGAGCAGGAGCACCCCTGTCATACCTGGGATGGGAAAACAGGGTGAGCAAAGTAGGACCTCTGCCTGGGCTGAAAAAAGAATAGAGCATTCCCCCTATTCTACCCATCTCCCTGACTTCTCTGATCTTTTTGTCTCCCAGAACAGTTTGCTGGAGGGGCTGGAGGTGGGGCTTATTCTGAGAGCTAGAAAGGAATGCCCTGGCTACTACAGACAAGTGTATATTCCCAGGGAGATGCAGAGGTCTTTAGACAAACAGGATTCCCAGGCCCCACCCACCCCCATATAGCCCTACCTGGGACTGTCTGGAAGAACCACCAGTAGAACTTCTGGGGAAGCTGGGACCTAGGAGACAAAGGTACACTGAGTCTCTGGCTTGGGCAAGAGGGGTTCCACCACTGCCACACCACAGTACGACTGCTCCCACCAACCCTGACTGGCTGAGTACTGGAATCACCAAATACTAGCCTCCACCAAGATGGCCAGGGAGGCTTCCAAGGAACATGGCACTCAGCTTCCTGTGTTTCCACCCTCTGCCCTCTCAGTAGTTTTTCCTCCTGTGTTACCCTGAACACAGTGGTTGACCTTTGCCTCCTTGAGTGCTTGGTTTATAATTCCGTAAGCTCCACGTGGGCAGGAATTTGTGTTCTGTTCACTGCTTTATCCCTATGCTTAGAACAATTCCAGGCTCACAGTAAAGGTCCACTAAGTATCTGCTGAATGACTGAATGTATCTTGGCATTCCTACTCTCTGACACCTAGCTGGACATACAAGACATGCTCCCTAAATATTTGCCCAATGATGGATAGTAAGTTAAATTGGCAAGCTGTATGTCAGCACATGTGGGAAGGTCTCTAACTTCATCTCTCAAAGACCTTTATTAGCAAATCACCACCTGCTCCCACCCCAAAGGCAAGGAAGTGACCTCTCAACTTCACCAAAGGAGGCTTCTCACCCTTGCCCAGTGAAGGGGCTGTCTTAAGGCCATCTTTTCCCTTTTTATTACCCTCTCAAGTCCATTCCCAGTTGCCCCAAGAGAAGCCCACCCCAGAACTGACCCATCATCTACAAAGACGTTGGGGAAGATGCAGGACAGCAGACTGAGGGGGCTGACTGAGAAGATGTAGACATTGACCACGTGGCCAGCACTGTGCAAAACTGGAAGAGACAGACCCTATTAGAGGTGATAACCAGGGTTGGCTCTACCTCCAGAGGAGGTAGAGGAGGCAAGGAGAGGCAAGACAGGGATGTCAGGAGCTCCAGTCTCCTCACTGTTTCCCCTAAAACTAGACCAGGCAGCTTTGGCAATGGGGAGGATGTCCATGAGCTACATACTGGCCAGGACAACAGCAGCCATGGCGACCCAGCGATGGAAGTCCACGGCGGCGTCAAAGGGCACGTAGCGGTTGAGGAAGGTCTCCCGCAGGAAGGTGATGAGGTTGCGGCACATGGTGAGCAGGATGTAGGAGAACATGAAGGAGATGCTGGCTGCTGTGCCCCGTGACAGGATGATGCCCACAAAGGTGGTCTCTGAAATGCCAGAGGGTGGCGAGACAAAGGCATAGTCTGGAGAAGGAATGGGGATGGGTTAGCATGGCACAAGAGACCAAGGTCTTGGGCTGCCGTCCCATGCCTTGGCTCTTACCCTGGACATTAAGAGCCAAGAAAATCAACAAGAGGATTCTCCACTTCTCCCCATTTATGAGTCTCCCCACCACCCACCTCCTGGCACCCTTACAGTAAGCCCGCTCTGCAAACAGTCCAGCACAGATGGCTGAGAAGATGATGACACAAATGATGTGCCGCAGGTAGTTCTCCATGAAGCGCTTATACTGCCGCAGTTTCTGGGCCAGAAAGCCCCGCTTCATCCTCTCCTGCAGTGCCTCCGTGTACAGCCGGGGAGGGGGCATCATCATCCTGCAGCCATAGGAGACTGGGTGGTGGGGTGGTAGGGGCACCCTGGCCTCCCCCAAATGCCACCCCACAAAAGGAGACCTGGTGACTTGGGAGGGGTCAGTATAGCCATACAAATGAAGATAAAAAGCATTTGGGGGCATTCTCCTACCCCCCAATCTTTACTTGCTTCATTCACCCATTGTTCCATCTCCCCACTATTCCATCTTTGCCTCCTCCTGTTCCCTTTTTCATTCCTTCCCCCAACTCTCTGCACAAGCCTCACTATTCTACCCAAGGCAGACAGAAGCCAGGAGGCTCTGCCAAAGCAGGTAGAAGCCAGAAGATCCCTCACTACCATCTTAATGTTGCTTCTGTGCACAAGGCCCCTTGCCTAAAGAATGAGGTACAGAAGTTGGCAGAGGTTGAATAGTCACTTGACTATATCACCCCACAATCAGATCAGGAATAAATACAATGAGACTCAGTATCCAGAAACATTGAGACTTCTCCTCATATCTCCCTGGGCCCAGAGATCTAGAAAACACTCACTTCTTGCCAAACCTCTTCTTAAGTCCAGGGCCTCCCAGCTCTGGGGCTTCTGAGGCAGGAATCCCCAGTCCACTGAGGCAGGAGTTAAGAAAAAGAAAATGAGAGCAAGGCAGAGTAAATTAATGCATTCTGATCATCTGTGTTATATATAGAATGATTTTGGCCCAGAGGGGCAGGGAGAGAGCCAGCCTACTGGGCAGCATGGGTTATGGGAGGCAACTGGAATTGGAGCTACTTCCAGAGGGCAAATGTCTAACCCCAGGGGCTGACTTGCAGCCCTACATCCTCATGCTTGCTCACCGTTCCTGAGGAGTCCGAGTGATGAATGAGACTCGAGAGCTGATGTTTTGTTTAAAAAGATCTCTGATACCTGGAGAGGAGAACAAGAAGCTGGACAGGCTTCTCCACCAGGAAGTGAGGTGGGGAGGGGTAGGAGACCGACCCTTTCTCCTGCCCCTCCAGGAAGGCTTCCAGGACACTTGCCAGTGACTTGGTTGTGTCCTGATCTCTCACTCCAGCCTTGTTTCCCCTCACTCCCCACACTGAGGACCCACTGCACACAGGGTGGCCACTGCTACACACTGTGACAAGTTTGTGCAAATTAGAAAAGGGCACCCTCTCTGGGCAGATGCAATTCTACAGGACCATGAACACTGTCTTTGTGCAAAGAATATAGCACTTTTTCCTCGGTGTAGATACACCCCACACCAGTACCCATGGCTTGGTGAGCAATGTGTAGTCTGGATTTCAGCCAACCTCTGACTCCTCAATTGACAGCTTTGTGCGGTGCACACTTGCATGTGGTGCCCCTGATTACATGCGCGTGGCTCTGTCTTAGGCACTGAGGACTCATAGAAGAATAAGACCTGGACCCTGTCCACCAGGAGCTCTTGTTTTAAAGACACGTCCCTCCCTGACTCCTATTATCCCTTTCATACTCACACACCTCCACCTCCACCTTTGACGCAGAGCTGTGTGTGGCGGAGCTCGCTGTCATGGTCCCTCAGCATGAAGTGGAAGTCCTCCCATGTCAGCTCATCCTTGTCCTGGAAGCCTGATTCCTGGAACATGGACTCCACCACTTGAGCCATCTGGGCCTTAGATAGGCAGTCATTGGAGATCTCAGTGAAGGACCTGGAGGAGGACCAGAGACAGAGCAGCCTGTCTCCCAGTGAAGTCAGGTTCGGGCAGGTGCAGGGTGGCGCAGGCCCCAGATTATCTCATGTGGTTACCAGTGACCCAGGAAGTGGCACTGAGAAGGTGCTCATCTAGCCTGCAACTGACACTAAGCTGGGTGGGGTGGCCATGAGCTCAGAAGTAGAAGAGAACTGAAAGTGACCTTGACCAGTTAGAGAAAGCAGTCCTCAAACATGGGAGACTCTACAACGGAGATGAATGTTCATTTAGTGCTGGGATGTATCCACGGTGTACCATGGCCCTCTCTGTGGCAGGCTCTCTGCTCACTCTCTTCTGTTGATGCCTCCCATACCATCCCTGGACTCCCACTTGCAGTCAAGTTGAGGCATGAGACAGTGGGAATAAGGAGAGATTGTAACTACAATCAATGACCACTGCTTCCTAGTGACAACCTCCTGGGGTACAGTCAGGAGAGTTTCCATGCTCAAACTAACAGTGCCCCAGTAGCAGCTGCAGTGACTAAACTTTTCTTGGGCTGTATTTTAGGGCAAAAACAAACAGACTGTGCAAAGTTTGTACAAGTCCAGCAGAAAAAGACCCAGCCCACATGGCATGGTAAGCACTGCCATCACATTAAAAAAATAAAACATCTTGCTTAAATTAAGCAAGACCCACACTGATTTATGGGATGAGAAGGAAGGCACTTAGCCCTTGGTCACAGGGACCTTTACCTTGATTCTCTAGCACCCTGCCCAGGGCTAGGCCTGCAATGATACACTCAGTGGGGTAGAGACCACAGTCATCTTTGCCCTAGCCCTTTTAGAAGCCCATGTCCAATGTGGGTATCTGGATGGGAGATGTGGCAATTAAGGGAATGCTTAAAGCAATGGAAAGGCTTAACAGAATAGACAAGTTAAAAAGATCCGGGCTGTTTCATTCATTCTACTTATTCATTTCATCTTATTCAGTAACTATGCATTGAATGTCCCAAGCACAGTGCAGAGGAGGTGGATTCAGCAAGGAAAACAGAAACATGAATCCTACCCTTGTGGGGAGCCGTGTTACTTGGCGTTGTCTTTGGAAATATAAAACATGATGCTCAAAGCTGGCCTTTACTGACACAGCAGAAACAGAAATGGCTCAAGAAGCAGGAAGAGAGAAGGGTTGGCATGTAGAGGAACATTCCATGTTTCTCCTCCTGACTGTCATGTGATTAATATCAGGTGAATGACTAGGTTATCCATTCATCCATTGATGGATCCATCCATCCTTTTATATATATATAAAGCAAAATACGTGTAAAACACAGTGTTAGGAGTGTTGAGAGTTGTAAAAGAGTTTACAAAGATCTAAAGGCATCCAGAAGGGGTTAGCAGACTTTGTTCTTGGTCATGTTGATGTTTTTTTTTTGTTGTTGTTGTTGTTTGTTTTTTTAAACTGGGGAGGTTTTCTGGATGGTTTTGAAAATGCAGATATAAAATAAACCCTCCTGGAGGCAGGAGCCTGGCCAGGTGAATTTTTGAAACTGGATACTCTGAGAGTCTAGTATACAGCATTGATCTCCTGTCTCTCACCACATGGTCACATAGCCTCCTTACTGGCTTCCTCTGACCTGACCAGTTTTCTTGTTTAAAACATCAAGAAGTCTCAAGTATGCTCCACCCCATACCGTATCATGGTGAAGAACTCATCCTTGGAGAGGAAGCCGTTCTCATCAAGGTCATACATGGTGAACATCAGGCGGGACTTATCCTCTGGGGAGCCTGGGAAGAGAAAGGGGGATGCAGCCAGCTCCCTGCTGAAAGACATCTGGTTCCTTGTATAGCCTGCCATCCCCTAGCCCCTACCTTTCATGAAGACCACCAGGACATCTAGGAACTCCCGGAAGGACAGGTAGCCATTGCCATCCTTGTCAGCCAGAGAGAACATGGACTCCACAAACATGTCCTGGGGCTTGAGGCCCAGAGACTCAGCAAACTCAGCCCTGCTCAGCTCACAAGTCAGGGCCTCCTGCACCTTCTGTGAAGAGTCCAGGGGCAGGGTCCCTGCATTTTCCTGGTTAATGTCTAGCACCTGTATTTGGGCAGTGGCAGAGAGAAGGGGAGAAGGAGGTGAGGCCTGGATTGGAAGCAGTTCAATGACCCCTCATATCTTCCCAAAGTCAAATCAGAAAGGTTAAGCCCTGGTGGCTACTCTTGGTCCTTAGACTTCTGGCTCAGGCTTCTACTCTCCTATAGAATGGGTGGATCAAATCTCTAGCAGCCAGCCCATTTTCTCCCTGGAGCTAAGAATCAGGACCTTTATGTAGTGAGGATGCTGCCTTATTTAGTGAGGGTCTGGTGGGAGTAGGGGAGAGCAAAGTTTGGGAATGCAAAGTGACAAGAGAACATGTTGGGGAAAGAAGACAAAGTAGACATAGGTGGGCTAGCAGGAAGAGGCTTAGGATATGCTCTCTTACTAATTCAAATAGAGCTGCCATGTGCCTATAATTTGGTCTCTGCCTATTGTATAGGGCATATACTTGTAATGAATGCTTGTTAAATGCCTACAATGTACCATGAACTTATGCTAAGCACTGTACATAGATTGATGTTTTTTAACCTTGAACCAGCATGAGAATCACCTGGAGGGCCTGTTAAACTTGTTGATCACTGGTCCCACCCCCAGGGTTTTTGATTCAATAGGTCTAGGGAGGGAGCCCCTTGCATTTCTAACAAGTTCCCTGGTGCTGCTGCTGCTGGTCCAGGCACCACACTTTGAGAGCCACTGACATAGACTCACTGAATCCTCCAAAAACCCTACAGGATAGATATTATCTTAATCATTGTTTACATATGAGGAAACTGAGGTACAAAGCAGAGCTCATGTGACTTGCTTAGGTCACATGCTGGTAAGTGGCAAAGCTCAGATTCAACAAAGGCTGTTTGTCCCCAACCCACATGGTAAAAATTTAGTTCACTCTGCATGGGGTCCTGTCTGGCCCAGGTTCCCTCCCACCCATGGGTTGGACCACATGCTCAGAAGGCACAGGACATGGCACCTGGGCAAAAAGGTGCCTGAAAAAGATCTCAAGGATGCGTCCCCGTTGCTGCTTGGTCACGGCCTTCCTGAATAGCTCCTTCTCGCCCATCTCCCACACGTTGAGGTCAAGGGCCCACTGCACACAGAAGCTCTTCAGAAGCTGCACAAAGGTGCCTCGCTCCTCCTCAGAGTTAAACAGCAGCACCTGGGTGAGAGGAAGTCCACACTAATCCTCAGATCACGAGCTCCTCATTCAACCTCCCCTCAAACAACCTTGGGTTGAGGGAAGGAAAAGCTGTTCCCCATCCATCCAGGTTGGGGCCAGGTGAGTGACCTAAGAGGGTATGAGGGGGAGTCCAGTTAAATCTAAAGGCTCTGAAAGGAGTCCCTCTTTCCAGTATCAGCATTCATAGGGGAGCTGTGTAGCTGAGGACAGGGTGACCTGAGAGGACTTTTGGAGAGGGGTGTACAGTAGGGGTGGGAGTGAGATAGGGCAGGCAAGTGAGGCCAGGCCAGGCAGGGGAAGCAGGACAGGCTGTACCAGGTCATACTCCTTGGGGATCTTGAGCAGCAGGGTCTGGCACCCATGGTTGCTGGATAGGATGAGGTTGACCTGCTGTGGGGGCCGCAGCTGAACAGTGCGCAGCACAGAGAGCCGCCTGTCCAGGACCTGCAGACACCCATCTGAGAGCAGCTGGATGATGATGGGATAGCTCTTCTCCCTAGGGCCTGGCCACTCCATCGCTGCAGAAAGGGAAAATCAGGCAGAGTGGTCCTACGGAGGTCCCCAGGCCCTGGCCTCTGGTCATCTCCACTATACCAGTCCAAGCCTGGCTTTTTCCCTGTGTCAACAACCTGGTTCTCTCTCCCAGGGACCAACCCCCATCTGCTTTCTTCCTCCCTCCCTCCCCTCAGCCCCATCTCACCTGGCACCCCATCTTTGGTTACTTCCTTCTTCACACTCTCTTTGCCTTTCCTTTGTAGCTTCTTGTGCTCTCGACCCCGGAAATAGGCCACCACCCCAGAGATGAGCAGACTCACTGAAGGGGATCAGAGGAGCCAGTAAAGAGGGGGCTCCTTGCCTGTACCTTCATTGAGCCTCTTTGGCTGTTTACTGTTCTGTCCCTTCCCAGGACCCCCCAGACTGGCCACAAACTGGGCCAAGGTACCAAGAAGCCAGTTCTGCAAGATAGTAGGTGAGGATGGGCAGGGACAATCTGTGGACAGGGAGGAGGCTGGGAGAAGAGATATGGGGTGGGTGTAAAGGGTTCACCTAAGGGAAGGAAGCAGAGAACCACAATGGTGATGCCAAAACCAGGACCACTGCCCTCAAAGTAGTCCAACACAGTCAGGGGCACACAGGGTGGCAAGTCGTCGGTTGTGAGTTGCTGGGGCTGAGGGCAGGGTGCACCTGAGGGAGAAGGCCCAGAAGACCTCAAAACTCAAGGATCTCACTCCTTGGCCAAGCATCTTTTCCCCCTGTCTTGTAAAAGACCAAGACGTGCTCTAACCAACCCAGGCCCACTTCCCTGGAAATTCTCCCTCAAAAGGTCCACTTTCAGTTACACAATTTGAAGAATGCAAATTATGTCACTGAATTGTATGTGTAGAATTTATTGAAGTGGTGTGTCCTTTGCTGTGTATATTTTCACACACACACACATTAATTTCTTAAAAAAGTCTCTTTCCATATCCTACCTCTCAGCATCCACCCCAGCTTGACCACAGGGTGCATGCAGGCCACAGGCCAGGCCAGGCTAGGCCTACTTTGTGACCCAACGTAAGGTAGGCTTTCCAGCTCTACACAGACAGGCCTGCCTGGAGACTGGGTCCCTAGATAGCACCAAGTGATCCCTCTCCATCTTGGTCCTTCCTCTGGTCACTGTCACTTGTGTTCTCCCTGGACACTCACCTTCATGCCAGACAAAGACATTGGGCTGCAGGGAACTGGATTCCACGTTGGTGACAGCCACCAACACATCCCGCAGAGTAATGTTTCTAATTTCTGCAATCTCCTCCTCAGAGAATAGCCTAAATTGGGGAAAAGCAGGAAGTTGTTGCCATCAGGAAGGAGATGCAGGCTTCCAGCAACCTTAGGCCCAAGGACCCAGATAAGGAAAGAGACCCAGAGGAGTTGTGGAGGAGGTGTTGGGTCAGGCTGAGAATCAAGGGCCCATGTGGGCTGCCTGGGGCCAGAGAGAGAATCCAGGGCCCAGACTGAGCTAGAATCTGAGGTGGGGGCTCAGGCAGGCCTTACCCATTCTTCCTGTTCTCAAACCAGTAGCGGTCACCATCTCGCAGTCGCACAAACTGGTCGAAGACAATGGCTTTAAAGAGGGGTCCTGGGTCCCCGTGGCTCTCCAACAGCCCTCCAGGAAGCAGCTCCAGCTGGGATAGGTCTTGGTTGTACAGGGCAGCTGTGGCCTCCAGCACCTGGGGCACCAGAGGAGGTGAGGAGTATGTATGCATTGGAGAGGGCAACTACTGTTGCCCAATATCTCAGACACTGGACCCCAACAAGAACTCTGGGCTCAGGCCTGGGGAAGTGTCCTCTTTGTAGGAAGTCCCCTTAGGAGTGTGGCAAATCTGGTAGGAGGATTTGTGTTTCCCTGCTGATGGTGAGGCAGGTCCCTAAGGACAATGTCCTGTGACCATTGCTACCCAGACTGCCTACTCCCTATGATTAGCAGCTTCAGGGGCACCCTACCCATGGGGAGGGACACTGCAAAAACAGGATGATACCACCCAACCCAGGATCCACCTGTAGGAATGGTATAATGTAGTGGTTAGGAACAGTCTTTGGAGTCAGATGACCTGAATTTACATCTTGCCTCTGGGATTTACCAACTATTTTGTCCCTAAAACAGGGATAATGATAGTACAGTGAAACCTGTGAGAGCTGGAACTTGATAGAACTGTCTTTCTCCCACAACCACCCCAGGATCTCACAAGTTTTCTGCCTTTGACAGGGTACAGTCTTACTACTTTTTCATCTCATTTTAGTGGAAAATATTTGAGTTTTCCTTCTCTGATAGGTTTCCACCTTACATAGTTCCAGCTTTCACTAGTTTAACCCTATCTGCTTTATAACATTCTTATGTAGATTAAAGGAGCCCTGGTGGTGCAGTGGTTAAGATCTCAGCTGCTAACCAAAAGGTTGGTGGTTCAAACCTACCAGTCGCTATGTGCAACAAAGATGTGGCAGTTTACTTCCATAAAGATTACAGCCTTGGAAACCTTATGTGGCAGTTCAACTCTGTTGCTATGAGTCAGAATCAACTTGTTGGCACACAGCAACAACGCCATGTAGATTAAATGAGTTAACGTATGTAAAGGACTTAGGCCAGTCTCCACCACAGGAAAGCTGTAGCTGCTAGTATCATGTTACTCCATTACTCATCCTGACCTGGGGCTCAAGGTTGGGATTGACCTCACTCCAGTTCTTCGGGGTCCTCAGGCCCAAGGCCAGCAGGGCCTGGCAATAGCTGGGTAGCCCCATATCTCGTCCACGCTGGATACTGCTGGCCACGTAGTCTGTACGGGAGAATTTGCCAGGGCCAGGCCAATAATCTAAGGAGGAAAAAGGATGAGGCTATAGGCTTGGTCCCCCAACCCTTCCTTTATCACCCAGAAGGCTCACATTGAGCTATTGACACTCTCCCTACCCCCTAGTGCTCCTCTACAAATATGCTGAGCCCAGGTTGACCTTTGTAATGGCTTTGATGTGGGGCCAATATCACCAGGTATGATCAGGGGCAATTTTCCTGGGAAGACTCTTCCATTATGACTCAAGACTATTCTAGTCACCACGTAGTTAATTCCTTGTACTATATCTCCCTGGTGGCACAATAATTAAGATGCTAACTGAAAGGTTAGCAATTTGAACCCTCTAGCAGCTCCGAAGAAGAAAAGACCTCGTAATCTGCTCCCATAAAGATTACAGGCTAGGAAACCTTATAGGCAGTTCCACTCTGTCCTATAGGAGCTCTGGTAGCATAGCGCCTAAGGCATTTGACTGCTAACCAGAAGACTAGTGGTTCAAACCCACCAGCCCCTCTTCTGAAGGAAGATTGGGCAATCTACTTCTGTAGTGATTTGTTATTGTTGTTATGTGCCATCGAGTCATTTCCAACTCATAGCAACCCCTCCTTGGGTTTCCGAGGCAGTATCACTATGGAAGTAGATTGCTAAATCTTCCTTCTGAGGAGTGGCTGGTGGGTTTGAACTGCCAGCCTTCTGGTTAGCAATCAAGTGCCTTAGGCACTATGCCACCAGAGTTCCCCCTGTAGTGATACTGCCTGGGAGACCCAAGGAGGGGTCACTATGAGTCAGATCCGACTTGATGGCAGTGAGTTTTTAGTACTCTGTCCTATAGGGTTGCTCTGAGTCAGAATTGACTCAATGGCACATAACAACATATCTCCCTTACCCCAAGACATAGCTGGACAAAAATCTTTTGAGACCTAAGCACAAAAGAGATTATGGTTATACAGACACATACATACTATACATACTCAGACATAGGTAATTTAAAATAAAAGCAATACTAAACTGTAAAATAAGTGAAAAAGAAGGTAAAAATTCATTCTAATGGCTATTTGAGTTCTGTGTGTGCATGTATTCCTGTATTGCAGATGCCCTAGGTCTGCCTGCTGATTAACTGAGAAGGGTCTCTAGGCTCCCCAGCCTCAGGACCCCCATCCCCTTGGCTCTGTGCTCACCCCTCAGATCTTCAACCACTATCCTGTCCTCCAGCTCTGAAATCTGGGAAGCCATTCCCAGCAGCAGTTGGTTCACCGCCTCGGCACTGTTCAGATTGGGGTTCTGGAAGAAAACACCACACTCAAAGTTCTAGAACTGCCCACCCCTCACCCCCAAAAGCTCAGCCCCTCTGACTTCTCAGAGCCCAGGATCTCACTTTGGACTACTGTGACACCTCAGGACAAAGGGCCCTTGGTCAGTCTCTCTTGAACTGCTATTCCCAGATAATCTTTTGCTTGCTCTCTACTCTTCATCTCCCAACAACCTGGAGGAGCAACATCCAAGAACAAGAACTGTTGCTTTTTCCAGCCTGTGTGAAGAGACTGCCCTTGATTCAGCTTCCCCTAACCCTGACCATAGGCTGACCTCTCGAATCCAGTAGCTGTTGCAGACTCTGAGAGCCGGGGAGCTGTCCAAATCCTTGTTCAGGACTTTCTGGAAATGACAGCTGGCATTTCTGAAATGGAGGAATTGTGGATAGGGTGAGGGAATTCAGGGAACAAGCTGAGATGGGATTAAGTGGGATGAGGGACTCATGAGGGATGGTCAGGATTGAGAGGTGGCCTATAAACCTCCTTGAACATAGCAGGGATTTGGCAATGTGTGTTTATTGAAAGTAGGAGGAGATCTTTGTCCACACTGAGTGGGGCTAGAAGGAAGGTAGGGAGTGACCCAGCTGCTGGACAAATCCTACTCTCAGCAGCTAAAGTTCAACCATTAGGAAAGCTGTGGGAGTTCCCTATTAAAATCCAACCCTTCACCCAAGATCCTGTTTCAGACAGTCAAATTCTGCTTCCCTTCCCCATCAAACTGTGGAGGTGCATGAAAGATCTTAGGCCTACAAGGCCTCTCATTCCTCACATCTGCCAGTGAGCTGCGTCTCTCTGTCACCACCACCACCACCCTCCCTCACCTCATATAGATGCCTGGGGGCACCATGGTGGAGAAGAACTGCTCAGAAGCCGCCAGGAACTCCGGGGAGATGCTGGGGTCCAGGAAGGGCTGGTACCCTGGGAAGAGGGGTTAATAAAAAAAATAGGCTCCTTACCCCATGTCCTCCCATCACACGCACCCAGCCTGGCCTCATCCCTCCCATTGGATCCTCCCCCTCCCCCACCACTCTCAACACAAGAATCCTCCCAACCCCCTCACCTTTATACTCTGGGGTTGTTTTATTTAGGAAGCTGGGCAGCCACTCATACAGAGCGATGTTCTGAGGAGCAGAGAGAGGGGAGAGGAGAAACTCGTGAGGGAAGGCTCTGGGAGGATTTACAGGAGACATCTGAGTCCAAGGAAAACTAAAGTGGGGAGATGAGTGCCAGACAGGGGCAGTGATGGAAAGACTACTCAAATAGGAACTGTTCAGAGCCATGTTTCCAAAGTGACTCTGTGTAGGTCCTTCGAAAAGGAATGATGAAATTTCCCGGAAGAGCTAAATAATAATCACAAGCAAAGTCTCCTGTATAAATGGCGCTTTGCCTCCTTACAATTTTCAAGGGCGTAGTGCTTAAAGCATTTGGCTGTTAACCAGCGGTTCAAACCCATTAGCTGCTCCCCGAAAGGTAAATGGGGCGATCTAGTTCCGTAAAGATTTACAGCCTCGGAAATCAAGTGGGGGGTCGCCATGAGTCAGAATTGACTAGATCGCTGGCAGTGAGTTTGGTGGGCTTTTTTGTTTTGTTTTTCCTAGACGTTAGCTCTTTGGGGAGGCAGTGTCCTATTCCAATAGGATGTGTCTGGGTGAGGGTTGTACAAGGATGGGGATTCTGCGGGGTGGGTGGGTGCAGCCGACCTGGTAGGTGGCGATGACCCTCTTGCGCGCGTGCTGGAACAGCTCCTCGTCCCCCCAGCGCGGGTGCTCCTGGGCCAGCCTCTGCGCACACAGGTTGTGGTAACGGAACCACAGCAGCCCCAGCGCCTGCAGGAAGGGCTCGCGGTTCCCTTGCTCCGCCCCGAAGGCTGCATCGGAGGTGGGAGGCAGGGAGGAGATGGGCGGTGGCATGAGCAGGGGTGGCCAATCTCACGGACCCCTACCCGCTGACCCCCACTTGGCCTTAGGCGAGCCCCGGCGCCTCGCCGGGTCCCCGCGTCCTCACCGTACAGCCCCCGGGGCCCGCGCTGGCCGGTGGCGGGGTCGGGCGCGGTCCACATGGTCAGCGGGTCCTGTGCTTCCCGAGGGAAGGCGGGGTCGGGCCCGGACGCCAATTGCCCCCTCGAGAAGCTCCGCAGCGCGTCGCTCCAGGAGTGCGAGGAGCCATAGATGGCGCTGCCGTCCAGCCAGCCTGTCACCTGGTTGCTCTGTGGGGACCGGGCGGGTGAAAGATGGGTGAGGGCTAGGCAGTGTCACGGGTGGAGGGCCGCCTCTCCCAGACTGGAGTGGGGCCCCTCTCCGCTCCGCCTTCCTCGCCTCACCAGGTCCCGGGGGTTACTGGGGCTCTGTCCAGTCTCGGGGTCCCAGCGGCTCCTCTGAAAGGGCAGCACCACGTCCCCGCGCTTGTTGGGGTCGAACACAGGGTCTCCGGGGGAGATGCGGATGTTGAGGAACTCTGCGGGGCAGCCGGGTCTCTCTACACTCACCAGGTCCGAGAGCACGTGGTAGCCTGTGCACCAGTGGGGCGCAAACTAGTGAGGAAATGGTTTGTACCCAGCGCTGCCTTCAAGGCGAGCTGCCTCCTAAAGTACTCAGGAGCTAAAACACAGGGCCCCACCTGCCTCAACTGCAAGTTTAGTGGATTCCGACCCATAGCAACCCATGTGACGGAGTAGAACTGCCCCATACGGTATGGAAGGCTGTAATTTTTATGGAAGCAGATTGCCACACCTTTCTTCCTCAGAGAGGCTGATGGATTCCAGCCCACTTTTGGGTTAGCAGCCTAATGGTTAACCACGTCGCCCAGTGACCTCTCTGGGGAGGTGGAGGGGAGGATGGAGGTAGGGAGGGTAGGGGTGGGGAGGTGCAGACCACACCGGATGACACTGTCAGAGGGGGTGACACCAAAATGTCTATAAAATTTTTGTGCAGTGTTTCAGCAGAAATGTATTATTTTTTAATAAAACTATACCTGTAGTTAGTTACAAGAAAAAGTCATTTTTTGTAAGCCTACCTTATATGTATCAACAAACCTACAAGGCTAAAACTCTGTAGTAATTTTGAGCTTTCCAATGAGGTTGATCAGAGCTGTCATTACCCATTTACAGTGACACTTCAAATCACATGATTTGTCTACAGAAGCTACAAGCTTGCACTGTTGTTTTCCTTACTGCCCTGTAGTAGCTGATTTTGTCAAAATGTCCGGTGCTTTAGCTACAATAGTGTGGTGATTAGTATTTGTGAACCTGTATCAATAATTGTTTTGAGAATGCCTTAATAAAGGAAAAGGAGACTAATAAGGCTTCCACTGAGTTACTAATAAAGTTGTAATTCAGTATTGAAAGATTTTACAAGATAATAGTGGCTAAGCACTTGACTGCTAACCAGAAGGCTGGCGGTCCAACCCACCAGCCACTCCTTGGAAGGAAGATTGGGCAATCTACTTCCTTAGAGATGCCGCCTGGGAAACCCAGTGCAATCCCACTTGATGACAGTGTTTGTTTTTTTGAACTGTAGTGATGCCATTGACTGCACCACCAGGGCCGGGGACTTAGCCTCAGTGAGCCTCAATTTTCCAATCTTCAAAGTAAGGTTACCGCACTCTCCCCACCCACCTCATAACATTGTCTGGAGAATCAAAATGACATGATTAACATAAGGGCTCCACCAAACCAATCCATATTTTCTTAACAGATCCTGCCTCCTTCCTCTTCTCTGAGAGGAGAAGAGGTTACATCACGTGGCGAGGAGTGGTGGCAGATTACTCCACTCCCTGGATTTGAGTCAAAGGGTAAGAGAAAAAGTTGGGGGAGAAAATATCCCTGCTACGACGTCCCAAATCTGTCAAAGAGGAAAGAGGAGAGAAGGCTGCCTGGGAGTGCTACTTGCAGGGAAGGAGGTGACTGGAGTCTCAAATTGGTCTACTGGAGACTTGCAGAAAGACCTCAGAGCCCCTCTCCCTAGGCGCTGAGCGCCAGGTCGATCCCAGTGATTCTCCCCGTCCCAACTTTGTCCTTACCAAAGAAGACGCCCAGCACCGTGCGGTTGCGACTCGAGGCTTGCCCCGCTGTCCCTTTGGTGGCTGCGTTGCTGAGCTGGCGGGGGTTAGGTAGCAGCGGCTCACCTAGAGCCTGATAAACTCCATCCGCGTAGTTGGCGGGGACTCGGCGCTGCAGCCGAAAGCCTGCCGGAGGAAAGGGGACAGGGATCTGTCAAAACACTTGGTCCCTAAGAAACTGCCACATTTCACCGCAGTAGGTCTTCTTTCCTGGCTCAGATCCCTTCTCCCCAGGGTCCCCTGGACCTAGGAGTGCAGGAGAATTTGCCGCGCGGGCAGCCGCGCCCTCTCCCGGAGGCTCCGCGCCCGCTCGCGCGCCCCAGCTCCCCGCCAGCCGCCTGCCCCCGCCCGCCAAAGCAGCAAAACTCACCAGCAGCGCCTCGCTCGTGGTGCCTCAAGTTGTTGAACCACCCGTCATAGCGCTGCACTTCCCAGGGCAGTGAGAGTGCGTCCTGGCCTCCTGTGGACTCAGAGAGCAGCTCGATCAGCGTTAGCTTCCCAGTGACACCTCAGACCCGACAGCCTCGGCTTTCCCCTAGCACCCCTCAGCTGGACGCACTTGGTGGTACCCGTGCAGCCGCACTGGGAAGTCTCCCATAGAGGAGAGCAGTGTAGCTATCTGACCTGATATTCCAACCCCAGAGAGGACTTGCCTGCACCTCTCCCTTCCTCCGCTCCCAGGGATACTGGGTAACATCCCGAAGCCAAGGGAGCTGGATACTTACCCGCTGGACCCAGAGGTCCAGTCAGTAGAGCTCCCAGTAGCACCAGAGCCTCTGGGCTTGCGCGGAGCATGCTGACCGTGCGGCCTGTGGAGAGAGGAACACAGAGCTGGTGCCCCCTCTCCACCCCACTCTAGGTTCAGATACCTACAGCTAGCACAGGGGAAGGGGCGTCAACTATTTCCACTTTAGGAACGAAGCTGTCAGAAGTATCACGGAAGACCCAAATCTGCCCGCCAATCTTTCCAGGACACCTACCAGCCCTGGTGGCTTTGATGCTGTTCCTCACTCTACCTCTACCCGGTCACAGAGCTATCTTCCGCCAAGGGAATCTCCGGGACAGGAGTTCTCCAGAGCAAGTCTGTCCCGGGCACTACCTGCCTTTAGCCTCTCAGGGCGCGCCCACAAGCATCCGATCCTCCCCTCTCCTCTCAACCCTTAAGAAGTAACCAGTTCTAGAGGAGGCGGGGAAAGGAATGAGGCTGAAGAGACGCTAGCGGGAGCTGGGACCCACAGTCCTCCTCCTTCAGTTAACGCCTGCGTAAGGGGCGATAAGTGGGGTGAAACCCCAAAACACAATCTTACAGGTAGAAGGAGAGGGCAGAGAAGATCCAACCTCTCTCTGGCTTAGGGCCTCGGTCGGGTTCAGATGTCCTATTTCCGATTGGAAGCTTTGTTTCTTTTCTTGGCTCAGCTTCCCGCCCTTGCCAGCTCTGCAGTTCCTCAGCCTCCTTGGCCGCACTCTCACCCTCCTCTTTGGGTCCTCTGACTCGCTGGCGCGCGAATGTACTCTCCGACCAGACCGGCTTCAAGTGTGGACCGCGGGACACTAGGATGACCTCCTGCTGCGGAGGCGGGGCTTAATCTCATTTGCATAGCGCTTCAGCTCCTCATTTGCATGACCCCTTCCCAGACCCTGGTGCCAAGCCGTGACACCCTTGCGGCACGCCATCCGCGTTGCTATAAAAAGAGACCAGGTCCCACGCGATGTACAAATATAGCGCGAGCTCGCAAAGTCCGGAAAATAACTGGCCATAGACAGTGAGAAATAAATCCGCTTGTCGGCTATCCCAGAGCGCTTGAGGGCAGCCCGCGGGGCTCGGACTTGGCCAGCCTACAGTAGTAGGGGGAAAGAGAAGTGGAACTGCAGTGAGAACTAGTAGCGGCTCTCCTTGCTTGCAGATTTGATTCGCCCGCCCGCGCGCAGCGCTAGGCATGACCCTGTGGGACAGCGAGCTACCCTTCTACCCTCGGCCTCTGCAAGCGGCCAACTTCAGCGCCCCGCTGCTCGTCGTCATTGTGGTGTTCCTGGTCTTGGTCACCAGTTTCCTGTTCATCTTGCCCGGGATCCGCGGCTACTCGGTAAGGGGGCACTAGAAACAGAGGTCTATTAGTGGGGTACTTCATGGCAGCTTGGCTCTCGGGGTTTCAGGACAGGTGAGACTGTGACAAGGGCCTCCACCCATGGTCAAACTAAGGCATAAGAGGAGCAGACAAAAGTCTGGAGCACCAAGCGCCCGTTGTCAAGAACAGGGAGAGCTTCCCACCTAAGACATCCTGGCGTCTGACCCAGCTGGGGCCTTCAGCGGGCTGTAGCAGAGAGCAGGCGCTCAGTGCATCAGGCTGGTGACTGATTCTAGGCTTCACGTGCTGTCGGGCTCCAGCCTTTTCCCGGACTGCAGCTCCATCCCCATCCGGTCCTCTGGTGGTGAACAATGAACCAAAAAAAAAAACAAAAACAAAAACAAAAACCTCACTGCCCGTGGAGTCGGATCTGACTCATAGCTAGCCCTCCTTGTGTTTCCAAGACTCCTCCTTGAATTTCCGAGGCAATATCACTAGTACGGAAGTGTTGTTGTTATGTGCCATTGAGTCGGACAGACTCATAGCAAACCCTCCTTGGGTTTCCGAGGAAGTAGATTGCCCCATCTTCCTTCTGAAGAGTGGCTGGTGGGTTTGAACCACCAGCCTTCAGGTCAGCAGTCAAATGCCTTAGGCACTAAACCACCAGAGCTCCTGAACTTTGGGCTAAGAGGCGCCAAAACAAACCTCCAGCAGTCCAGGCTTCTGTGTGTCCACCATGTGCTGGGTTGAGAAGCATGTGTATGGATGTCCCCATCACAGGTCTGTTAGTTGTTGTAAACTGGGTGCATTTCTTTAGACTCCTCCCTCAACCATATCCCCACCTAAGTTGTGCATCTTTTCAAGTCCAGGAGGATCCAGCATTCTTGCCTCTTGATCTGTGTTGGTTTCCCCAGGAAGTGGTGCACCAACAAGTATCTGAGAGCTGTGTTCCCCTCTCCTCCCCTCCTTGGTGACCAAACCCTGGAGCCTCCCTCTTCTGGGGGAGGTGACCCTTGCCTGCCTAACACTTCTCCTGGACTCACTGAGCTTCACCAGGCAGTGACCCGAATTGGAGGCTGGACCAGAGCCAGACAGCTGGGGAAAGGAAGGCAGTGAGAGTGAAAGGCGTGGGTGCCTGTGCTGCCCAAGGATGGGAAAATGGGACTGGAGAGGCAGAAGCACATGACCAGAAAACATCAGAATGTTGGACCAGGAGGGACTGGCAGGGAAAGCGAGTCTGAAGCCAGCCTCAAAAATACTAGGAATGTAACTGTGAAAAGGGGGTGGGCAAGAGGTGTGGGTTCTGGGGCTCTAAAGAACAAAGGTGACTGTGGTCATGAGAGGTCTTGAGAGCTTTTGTTGGTTAGTGCCCAGGCCTGATTTGGGTGCCTATTCCTACAGTGCTGGTTCTGGCTGGTGAGAATTCTTCTCAGTCTGTTCATAGGTGCTGAAATTGTGGGTGAGTGTGTAGTGCATGGGAGGGGAGGATGTGGGGTGATAAGGGAGATGGGCAGAGGTTCTCTGGGAAAATGGGGAGCTGGGGTTGGTTCCTGATCACACTCCCCTTTCTCTGGGTTCTTTCTGGTGCCCTCTTCTACCCTTACTATACACACCACACTGGATCCCCTAGACCCTCCCACCTCTCTGCCCAGTATCTCATCTCCCATCATCAGTCTTCTAATGCCATCTCTCCTCCTTCCCCACCGTGTGCCTCTCCTCACAGCCGTGCACTTCAGCACAGAATGGTCTGTGGGTAGGATCATCACCAACACATCCTACAAGGCCTTCAGTGCGGCGCGTGTCAGGGCCCGCGTCGGTCTGCACGTGGGCCTGGAGGGGGTCAACATTACACTCACAGGTGAGGCGCCTGGGGCGAAGGGAGCTCCTAAGGCTGGCAGATTCGGGCTTGGGGGAACGTGGTGGGGGACAATTAAAGGACTTCCCAGATCTCAGGCTCAAATAGCTTTTGGCTCTTGCGGATTTGCGTTTTCCCCAACCTTCAACAAACCTATTTCTCTCGCCGTGGACCCCCCACCCGCACTTTCCTATCCGAATCTCCCCAGTTGCCCTCATTCCCCGCCGCTCGCACACCCAGATCCCCGCCGCCTTTCCTCAGGGATCCCAGTGCAGCAGCTGAACGAGACCATCAATTACAACGAGCAGTTCAGCTGGCGCCTGGGCGAGAACTACGCGGAGGAATATGGCGAGGCACTGGAGAGGGGCCTGCCAGATCCCGTGCTCTACCTGGCGGAGAAGTTCACTCCGAGCAGCCCTTGCGGACTCTACCTTCAGTACCGCCTGGCGGGACACTACGCGACCGCAACGCTGTGGTGAGGGCTGGAAAGGAGGCTCGGTGTACAAGCGCGGGGGGTGGGTGGGGTGCGGATAGAGGAGTCTGCGTGAGGAGGGGATGGGGTGCTAGGAGGAGCGCTCCAGTTACAGCCCAAAGTGCACCGAGTGAGAATTACGACTCGTTGGGTTAGAAGGTCGCGAGGTCCACTGACACCGTCGGAATCCTGAAGGACCCAGCAAAGGCCTAGAGCTCTAGGCCCCCCTCACCCCCTGGGATCTCCCCCCCCCCCAGCCTTCGCCTCTGCCCTCCAAGCTCTGAGCTTTCGCGCTGGGCTAGGGGCAAAGCGGAGCAGAGCTGTGGGAATCTCGATGGTCTGGAAGAACCCCGCGCGGTCTTCAGCCACCTGCTTTAAACAGTTCCTTGGGAGCTCCCGCCCAAAGGAAAAACCTGGGCTCTAGCTCAAAGAGATAGGTGCAAGAGAGTCTGGCTGCAGACCCGGCGTGGTGTCTTCCCTTCAGGGTCCCCCAGGTGGGGCGGGGACGTGTCCTCCCGTCTCAAGGCGCGGCGCGTCCCTCCGCAGGGTGGCGTTCTGCCTCTGGCTGCTCTCCAATGCGCTGCTCTCCATGCCGGTGCCGCTCTATGGAGGCCTGGCGCTGCTGAGCACCGGCGCCTTCGCGCTCTTCTCGGTCTTCGCCTTCGCCTCGGTCTCCAGCGCGCCGTTGTGCCCGCTCCGCCTCGGCTCGGCTCTGCTCACCACTCACTACGGCGCCGCCTTTTGGCTCACGCTGGCCACTGGTGAGGACTGAGGGGCTGCACCGGCCTGGGGAGGAAGAGTGGGGACGGGATTTATACTGATGTGCGCTTTCCAGTTTACAAAATGCGTTCACATCTCGTATCTAATTTGCCACTCTCAGTTGTTCATTTCGTAGACGTCTATTGTATCAACGTCTGCAGTATTGTATCATGACCATTTTACATATGAGGATGGGAGGGCGGGGTTCAAAAGGGTTCGGTGTCTTGCTCCCGTTTGTACGCAAACCCATGCATTGTATAATCCGTATTAGAATACTTTCTGCAGAGAGAGCGCGCGCGCGCGAGTGTGTGAGTGTGTGTGCGTGTGTGTGTGCCTCTGCGCGTCTGTGTCGGGAAAGGAAAGGGAAGGGGTAGCACCCATAGATGGGGGAGGGCAGCCTGGCTTCTGGCCCGGAGCCCTGGCCTCCCCCTTTACTCCAGTCTCCGTCGCCGCAGGCATCCTGTGTCTTTTCCTCGGAGGGGCGGTAGTCAGCCTTCACTACGCACAGCCCAGCGCTCTTCGCACCTTCCTGGACCAAAGCGGCAAGAATCGTGAAGACCAGGCGAAAGGGCGCTCGCTTCTTATTGTCAACAGCCCTCTGCACGAGCAGTTCGAGGACCCAAACTTAGAGATCATCACTAAACTGTGAAGGGGTCTCAACTCCGGATTCCAATCGTGCCTCAGGCCGGAGCAGGCCAGTAAGCAGTGCCCACTGGGCCTACACCAGAACTTGGGGAGGGGCCCAGTGCTGTGGGCCCCTGCGGGAAGGGAGAGCAGCTTCGGACCCCCCCCACACACACACACACCTTCGCAAACCCCCCAGAAAGAGTCTCCCAGAATGAACTGTAAATAAACTTTTTTTCCTTTTTTAAAAACATTTTTTTCCTGAATTTTCATACCTTCCCTAGGCTCTTGGGGAAGCGCGAGCTCTCAGGAGGTTTGGCTAGGTTGCAGACAGCCTAATACAGGCTTTTCTTCTGCCTTGCCGCGAAACCGGATTTTCTGTAGGAGAATCCGGCATAGTCCAAGAAAGGCGCTGGGAAAGGGGCGCCCTCTAGTGGGACCCTAGGGGAACCGACCGGAGCTAGCATCTCCGTGAGCCGCAACTCACTTGCCCAGTTGAGGGGACTTGGGAGAAAGTGTTTTGGAGATTATTCAGTAATTCGTCATACTTGGTTCCTTTTAGGGTTGTGCTTGAGGGTACATATCAGCAAGGAATAAAAATATAAATCCTGGGATTTTTAAAGATCCTTGGCAAGGGTTACAGTATTATTTGGCAAATTTGGAAGCTGAAGCTCAAAGAGAATGTGGCACAGCTGGTTAATGTGAGACTTAAGAGGTAGAGTTTGATCTCATTTCCCCCAGTGCTGTCTTTTATTGCACCAAGAAGTCACACAAGTCGGGAGAATAAAGGAAGAAAGCAAATGAGGCCTGGGTAAAAGGAAAACAAAAGGTGCAAATGAAAATCAGACTCTACTCTCCCACTACACACACACACACATTATGTGGGATAAATTGGGTTTCAGTGAATGTCAAGGGCGCCTCAAAGAGGCAAAGCATCAAGAAAAGGCAGGCTTGACATGCAAGAAGCATTGGCAGCTCCCTGCTTGGTCTTGACCATGGCAATAGGATATATATGCATGCTGAATGTTTGTACAGTAGCTTGGAGCTTGTTTTTTCTTTTAGAACATCAATGGGTAAGCAAAAAAAAAAAAAAAAAAAAAAGAAAAGAAATTCACTACCATGGGGCCAAATGGGTAGAGCCCCTTTTTCTCTCCACCTACATATTGGAGCTGGGGGACAGAGCTCTGGGGGTGGCTCTGGTGCTTTTATGGGGCTCCAGTAAGGTCTGAAGCCCAAGCGGAAGTCCAGGTGGTCATCAGAAGAATGTCATAGGACACAGTCAAGCTCTTTGGTGTGCTCCTCCTCACAGCATGCCTCAGAGGAATCTTCCGATAGAGGGATGTCCGGGGTCTTGGGACTCTCGGGTATGGATCGATAGCGGGGGGTCAGGAGTCCACCTTCCTCAGGACTCAACCCCAGCACAGGGTCCTCCCCTGCACTCTGGTTGAAGAAAGCCTTCAGCCTGTGGGGCTGCATCCTGTAGGCCACTGCCATGACCAGGCCCAGCATCACACACAGCAGTCCTAGAGACAAGGGCAAGTCCTCCACCTTATTCACTGCTATGGAGTCCATTGTGACTCAGCAACCCTATAGGACAGAGTAGAACTGGCCTCATAGGATTTCCAAGGCTGTAAATAGTTATGGGGGATCTCTGGTAGCATAGTGGCTATGACACTTGCCTGCTAACCAGATGGCTGGCGGTTCAAACCCACCAGCCACTCCTCAGAAGGAAGGTTGGGCAATCCTACTTCTGTAGTGATACTGCCTCAGAAACCCAAGGAGGGGTCGCTATGAGTCGGCTTTGACTCGACGGCACATAACAACAACAACAACAACAACAAATAGTTATGGAAGCAGATTGCCACATCTTTCTCCCATGGAGCAGCTGGTGGGTTCAAACTACCAATCTTTTAGTTTGCAGCTGAGTGCTTTAACCACTGTGCCACTGGGGCTCCTTTTGTCTCACCTTAGTGGCAGTAATCCTGCCCCAAGGCCATCTTCTCTTTGGAGCATCTGAACAACTCTAAAGAAAGCCTAGAGTCCCTGCTTCAGGGCAATTCAGGCTCAAGAGAGGTGACTGGCTTAGGGCCATAGACTGGTGTGGCTCTGTTGTTCTGACTTTCTGGGCTCCGATTCTAGTGTTCGTTCCTTCAATTACATCCCAGAAGAGACACAGAATGAACTCTGATCCCAGAGCACAAAGGAGGAAGCATGGAGAAGGGGGGAGACCCAGGGACAAGCAAGAGAGGAAAATAAAACTGCAGCACAATTTAGGACCATGTGAGGCAGGGATAGAGAAGGCTTCCAGGAATGGCCATACAAAGGATGTTTGGAGAAGGTGACACAGAGTTGGAGGTTTTAGGAAGGAGTTGAGAGATGGGGGACAGGGCAGAGACAGAAGATACAAACAAGTGGGCACATATGTAGAGGAAGGGCGGGTAGAATTGAGGACAGAAAAACAGGAAATAAGAGATATAAGAGGGACGGGGCTTTAAAGAGTGGAAAGGCAGCCCTGGCCCCCAGAGGTAGACTCTCAACTATACCTATATCGATAAGACAGTCCCTGACCCATCCTCCCTTTCCTGAGCCTTCCAGTGCCTGTTTTTAGGGCTGAGCCTCACCTGTGGTCAATGTGATCCAGAAGGCAGGCCCATGGTGAGTGTGTAGTGTGGCAGTGCCCGGGCACAGGGGACAGGGCGGGGTGAGTGAAGTGACCATGGAGTAGAAGAGCAGCGCCAACAGCTGAAAGATGCCTGTGGCCAGCAGCATGTGCCCACCATAGACCAGGACGGGCATGGACAGCATCACATTGGTCAGCAGCCAGCAGAGAAATGCCACCCTGGAGAGGCAGAACCGGGTGAGGATTGGCCCAGGGTGCATCTACTTGCTGGCAGAGCTGGAGAGGCCTAGGTGGAGGCTCAGGGACCCAAGGATGCCTCAAAGGGGTAAGGTAAGCCCATGGGCTTCCCAGTCAAGTTCCATAGTGACTGGTGCCAGCCTGTCCCACTAGAAACCTCCACATGAATAGAGGAGGGATTGGTAAAACTTCATTTTTGGGTCTAAGCAAGCAAGGCTTCCATTCCCCACCCCTTCCCATACTCACCACAGTGTGGCTGAGGTGTAGTGCCCGGCCAGGCGGTATTGGCGGTGCAGGCCACATGGGCTGCTCGGGGTGAACTTCTCAGCCAGATAGAGCACAGGGTCTGGCAACCCCTTCTCCAGTGCCTTTGCGTACTCCTTAGCATAGTTCTCACCCAGGTGCCAAGTGAACTCCTCATTGTAATTGATGGTCTCGTTCAGCTGCTGCACTGGGGTCCCTAGGGAAGAGTCAGCTGTGTTCAGCAGGGACCCCTAGGCCAGAGGGCATTCACCTGGACAGAGACTCACCCACACTGGGCAGAGGAACAACAGCTGGTCTCAGTTAAAAGAAGGCAGCTTCCAAGGCCTCTGAATTTCCCTCCCTTCCATGCCCCAACACCCACACATCAGTGCTAGACATCTTGTAGTTCTTTGGACCACACCAAACATAGATCCCAAAGACACAGAGCAGAGCTTTCTCCTCCCTCACAGGTAAGAGCCCTCCCTCACCTGTGAGTGTGATGTTGACTCCTCCCAGCCCAATCTGCAGCCCAACGTCCACGCTGATCCACTCAGAACTGAAGGCCTTGTATGACGTATTGGTGCTGACCCGGCCCACAGACCACTCAGAACTGAAATTCACAGCTAGGGTTGGGGAGTCAGACATATAGACATAGAGGGATCTGGTGGTTACTGGGTTGGAGCACTACAAGGGGTCCATGTTTGTTTTGCTCTTAATCATATACCCGTAACTAGCCCAGGGTCTGGTGTATGCTAAATCCACAAACAATATGTGGGATGAATAAATGGGTCAGAGTCCAAGATCTCCTTTGGTCACACTCTGCTTGTCCTTTTTGTACCTCCCCCTTCTACCAGTCCTCTACCCTTCTTTAGGGAAAGCCACTCAGGCCACTTAGAGAGCATTCATTAACATAACAAACCGTAAAGCAAACACAGCTTCCACAGAGACCTTTTGTCTCCCCTATTTGCCTAATCAATCACCAAAGCAAAGCAAGCCTCCCCCCATTTTTTCTGTTCCTGTCTCCAGAGGTTTTCTCCGCACAGACAGTTTTTGGCCTGCTCTTCCCTGAATAAAGTTAGAAAGATTGAGGAGATGCCTCCAGCATGGTTTCCCCAGGGAACTGCTCTCCTCAGGTCAAGAGTAACAGTGAAGGCATGAGGTCATGCTGAGGGAGGCATGTGAACAGGGTCTGCAAGGTCAGCCTGAAGCTGAGGCTGCTGTGGGGAAGCAAGCCTGGAGAAGAGAAGCAGACTTGGGGAACCAATGGGATGAAGGTAGCTGCCCGAGTCAGCTGGGCTCAGCACTCACCCAGGATCACAGCCCCGATGAATAAGCTGGTCACCACCCGAAGCAGCCAGAACAGCCTCTGAGTGGAGGGTGGGTGGATTTAGTAAGGTGCGTCCTCCCTCCAAGTCCACCCTTCCTCATGCCAAATTTGGTGGGGGTGCCTCTAAAATTGTAGTCATTTGGTCAACTGAATCTTGCTTGGCACATAGATGCTCAAAAATTATCTTTTGAATCAATGAATGGGGGCTAGACACTATACTGGTGGGTGTGTGGTGTGGTATGATTACTTTTCTTAGAGCTGGAGTCTTTTTCCTTTTGGTTATAGTTAGGGAGGCCAGACCCCCACCCAGAGGCCAAAGCCTTTCTGGGGCTAGGGCCCCCAGGGCTAGGTTCGTTTCTCACCATCTTGCCCCGAATGCCAGGCAGGATGACAATGAAGGTGACTAGTGCCATCAGAAAGATGGTGATGATGACAGCCAAGGTGGTGTCCATTGGGAAGGTTGGCTTGGGGCCAGCATAGAAGGGGAGCGTGTGTCCCAAAGCAGTCATTTTGGTGAGGGTATGTGTGGGGAGGCAGATGCTGCACAGAACAGATGATGTCGTATTCTCTGTGTACCAGGCACTGTTCTTGGTGCTGGAGATAGAACAGAAAATAAAACAATCCAGGTCCCTCTTCTCTGCAGCTGACATTTTAGTGCTTCACCAGACTCCACACTGTTCATGCCATTTCACTGCCCCTCAGCCACCCCAACCCCCCAGCTGGCAGAGTGAGGGTCTTGGCAGTCAGTCTGTTACCCCATGGTCCCTTCCTAACCCCAAGTCTCTGAATCATTGCCACCACTACCCTCTAGGATTTTCTGCTTCTTCCAGGACTGTCTTAAATATAATTCTCTTTAGTTCCCTCAGGCCTACAGTACATACAGAGAGGACACAGAACATAAAAAGTGCTATATTTACTATCAAGTGAAGGCGTAAGGGTGAAAGGTAATACAGATTACAAAAAGGTTGGCTTTTTTCCTTGGTCCCCAAGGGAATTAAGACCTGACAGCTCTGCTAAGTATATAATCCAACTATAACACCAGAGAGCTGATTCCCAAACCTGGTACTGCTCATACTGGTCTGTCCAGCTTTCTCAAGCACCCTTGCTCCTATTCTAGCAACTCCAGAACAACTGAACTTAATTGAATTCACCTCAGTAAGCAATGAAGGACCACTTGCCCTTCACCAGGCACAGTGCTGAGGCCAGGTGTCCTTCTGCCCCACACATCACCAAGACTGGCCCTTCTCTTCTATTCATATTCCCAGGCCTCATTTCAGCTCAGACTTTGACTTTGGTCTTCTCTGCCTTTCCCCTGATCTCAGCTAGTTTGGCCCCCATCTTCCATTGGCAGACAAGACATTGGAAAATGGTACTAGAATCTACTCTATTTTGTTAAATCTAAGACAGAATAGATTGCAAGACACACTATTATTTTATGTACTACAAAGAAAGAAAAATGCTGTCAATTAAATCATAATGGCCACTGCTTATCAGACAGACTCCAATTTCAGACATGTTAAAAAGTAAAAGAAAAAGAAAACACTTCTTTGAATCCATGATTCCTGCTCGCCTTTATCCCTAAGTGTGATCTGTAGGCCTCAGTTTGCCTAGAAGCTTCCGTAGTTTATAGTCTGACCATGTAGCATCTTGTTGAGCAATATAGCAAAAGAATAAGCTTTGGTTAGAGTCAAGCAGCCCTAGACTGTGCCTCTGCCTCTTGCAAGTCACTTGTCTGGTGCAGACACTTGGTTTTATTGAAAAATGTAGATAATAACGCATATCTCACAGGGTCATGGTGAGTATGAAATGAAATTGTGTATGGAAAGTGCTATGAATAGTGCCTGGAACAAAGTAGTATCAGTAAATTGAAGCCACCATGTTGGGAAGGAGGGGTAATTTAATTATTTCATTTATCTCTTTTTTCTAATCCTTAGAGGGAGTGAGCCCTGGGGTGGAATCCGTTCTGGGTCTAGTTCCAGTTCTTTACTGACTCATTTTGTAACATTGGACAGGCAAGTGACAACTTCCTTGGCCCTCATTTCCTCATCTATAATTGGATATCCAAGTCCCTTCTAGTTCTATATCCTGTAATTCTCCTACAATGTGCTAATTCCCAGCCTGCCCCTCTCCTTCCAAGCTGTCCACTTCTTGTGCTATCTCTGAGGATAGCATGGTGTCAAACAGACAGAAAGACACATTTAGTTATTAATCCTGTCTTTTGTGCAAGGTACATAACCTCTGAGCCTCATTTTTAACACGAAGAAATTTTTGCTTTTTTTCTTAATTGTTCATTCCTGACCACCATCTCAGAGGAACTGGTGTCTCTTCTTTCTCTGATGCTGCAAATCCATCTGTTTGGGCTCTCATCCCAATCCTGCCTGCCTTCTCCATCACTTTTCTTATCAATTGTCTTTTTTACCTTCCATAGTTTATTCAGCTTCTCTTTCTCTGCTGGCTCCTTTCTCCCAAGCATGTGCTAAATTCCTCCCATTGTAAGATAATAAAGAAAAGGGACACCAGCACCCCTTGACACTTCTGGATCCTCTCCAGCTACCCTATCTGATTTTCCCCATTTCTGTCATGCTGTTTTGAAATAGTCTATACTGGTATAGTGCCTAAGGCACTTGACTGCTAACCAGAAGGTGGCGGTTCAAACCCACCAGCCACTCCTTGGAAGGAAGATGGGGCAATCTACTTCCGATACTGCCTCGGAAACCAAGGAGGGGTCACTATGAGTTGGGTCTGACTTGATGGTACATAACAACAACAACATCTCCTTAATCCATTGTGATCTGCCTTTTCCATTAAGTCACTTATATCTAAAGGACTTTTTTTCACATTTAATCCTTCTTGACTTCTCTGTGGTATCTGACCCTGTAGACCACTCCTTCTTTCCTCAAACTTCTCCTTGGGCCTCCATGCCAACATATTCTTGTGGGTCTCCTGCTTTTGGCTCTCCTATTCTTGGGTCTTTTCTAGTTCTCCCTCACTCTTAAATACTGATTCTCCCCAGGGCTGTTTTGGCTTTCTTCTCTTATCACTCTCAAATCTAGATGGCCAGGTAGAATTCCTACCTGGATCCCAAACTCCAAAGACCAACTACCCAGTGAACCTGTTCACTTGGATGTTCCACTGATGCCTCAAATTTTAACAGATCCCAAACTGAAGTCATTGTTCCTACTCTGCTTCTTATCCTATGTCTCTTTGGCGGCATCTCTACCTCATGTAGATCAAATAAACCAGAGACTTGGGTCATTTTATTTATATTTATTCCTAAATATTTCTTGAAACCATTCACATATTTCTATCCTTATTGCCTCTGCCTCAATTCAGTTTCACCATCTCTTGCCTGGTGTCAGAATAATTTTTCTAACTAGCAAACATAATCATTTTATTTCCATGCTCATAATGATTTTGGCTACCTCATGTCTGTCAATTTATTGTACTGTGGTGGCTTGCATGCTGCTGTAAGGCTGGAAACTATGCCACTGGTATTTCAAATACCAGGAAGGTCACCCAAGATGGACAGTTTCAGCTGAGCTTCCATACTAAGACAGACTGGGAAGAGGATGGGGTCATCCACTTCTGAAAACATTGGCCAGTAAAAACCTTATGAATAGCAGTGAAACACCATATGAAATATTACTGGAAAACTGTTATGAATAGCCCTGAAACATTGCCCAATGTAGTGCCAGAAGATGAACCCCTCAGGTTGGAAGGTACTCAAAATACAACTGGGGAAGAGCTGCCTCCTCAAAGCAGAGTCAACCTTAATGATATGGATGTAGTAAAGTTTTCAAGACCTTCATTTGCTGATGGGGCACAACTCAAAATGGAAAGAAACAGCTACAAACATCTATTAATAATAAAAGTGTGAAATGTTTGAAGTATGAATCTAGGAAAATTGGAAGTTGTCAAAAATGAAAAGGAATGCATAAAGATCAATATTCTAGGTATTAGTGAGCTGAAATGGACTGGTATTGGCCATTTTGAATCAGACAATCCTATGGCCTACTTTGCCAGGAATGACAAATTGAAGAGGAACAGCTTTTCATTCATTGTCAAAAAGAACATTTCAAGATCTATGTTGAAGTACAAGGCTGTCAGTGATAGGATACTATCCATACGTCTACAAGAAAGACCAATTAGGATTATTATTATTCAAATTTATTCACCAACCACTAAAGCCAAAGATGAAGAAATTGAAGATTTCTACCAACTTCTGCAGTCTGAAATTGACAAACATGCAATCAAATTGTATTGATAAGTACTGGTGATTGGAATGTGGGAGATGGAAACAAAGACAAATCATTGGTAGTTGGAAAATATGACCTTCATGATAAAAATGATACTAGAGATCAGATGCTAGAATTTTGCAAGACCAATGGCTTATTCATTGCAAATACTTTTTTTCAACAACATAAATGGTGACTATACACTTGGATCTCACCAGATGGAATACACAGGAATCAAATCGACTACATCTGTGGAAAGAAGTGATGAAGAAAGGTCAATATCACCAGTCAAAACAAGGCCAGGAGCTGACCATGGAATAAACCATCAATTACTCATATGCAAGTTCAAGTTGAAGCTGAAGAAAATTAAAACAAGTCCATGAGAGCCAAAATACGACCTTGATTATATCTCACCTGAATGTAGAGACCATCTGAAGAAGAGATTAGACATATTAAACACCGATGACCAAAGACCAGATTAGTTGTGGGATGACATTAAGAACATCATAAATGAAGAAACCAAAAGGTCATTAAAAAGACAGGAAAGGAAGAAAAGACCAAAATGGATGTCAGAAGAGACTGTAAAACTTGCTCTTGAATGTAGAGTAGCTAAAGTGAATGGAAGAAATGATGAAGCAAAAAGAGTTGAACAGAAGATTTCAAAGGGTGGCTCAAGAAGACAAAGTAAAGTATTATAATGAATGAAATGTGCAAAGACCTGGAGATAGAAAACCAAAAGGGAAGAACACATTTGGCATTTCTCAAGCTGAAAGAACTGAAGAAAAAAATCATGGCCTGAATTGCAATACTGAAGGATTCATGGACAAAATATTTAACAATGCAGGAAACAACAAAAGAAGATGGAAGGAAAACACAGAGTCACTGTACCTAAAAGAATTGATTGATGTTCAGCCAATTCAGGAGGGAATATATGATCAAGAACAAATGGTATTGAAGGAAGAAGTCCAAGCTGCACTGAAGGAACTGGCAAAAAACAAGGCTCCAGGAATTTGTGGAATACTCATGGAGATGTTTCAACAAATGGATGCAGCTGGAGGCACTTACTTGTTTATGCTATGGCCAAATGACTGGAAAAGATCCATATCTGTGCCCATTCTAAAGAAGGATAATCCAACAGAATGTGGAAATTATCAAACAATAGCATTACTTTGACACACAAGTAAAATTTTGCTGAAAACAATTTAAAAATGGTTGCAGCAGTGCATTGATGTTGTTGTTGTTAAGTGCCGTCGAGTCGTTTCCGACTCATAGGGACCCCATGCACAGCATTGACA